TGAAGTGAGGACACACACACACACACACACACACACACACACACACACACACACACACACACACACACACACACACACACACACACTTGATTACAGGACATAAACTCTTTCCTGTGACAGCCTGTATACTTAAAGCTGATTTATCTTACAGCTAATTCATTTACTCTGTTATGACGTCATTAAATAAAAACTGTAATAACACAGACATTACAGTTGATCCTTTAGTTAAAATAAGCACAAACATATTTTTTTCTCACATCTTATTTGAAGTCAATACCTCGATGAGGGATCAATAGGRTTGAACKGCTCTCCTCCTCCTCCTCCTCCTCTTCCTCCTCCTCCTCCTCGGTTTAGTTCATTCTTCAGGCCGCCGCTGCCTTCAGGCTCCCGGGAAGTTTGGTTTTCGGTGAGTCGGTAAAAAAACGCCTCATGTCCTCAAAGTTTAAACCGAGCCTCCTCCGTCCTCTTCCAGCCTGAGCGTCCTTCTCTCTCACGACGAGCGGAGGAGAGGCAAGTAAAACACGCGCGCGTGCGCGCGCACACACTGACGTCCCCGGCGTATCCTTTCAAAATAAAACACTCCTGAGTATCTTTTCTATTTTAGAAGACGTTTTCAGGTGATAAATATTGTTACATCTAATGTCTGTATTGTTATATAAGCTTAACTTTTGAAAATAGGTACTTTTCAATAAATGTGAACTTATTCCATAAAGTTTATTCAAGATTTAACCACTTCTCTGTTGGGTTTAGCAGTATTGTTGTGTTAGCGTGCTAGCTGTTGCAGCGACTGTGAAGAACAGCATTTTTAACTGGCAGGTATTTTACACGTTTTGCTAATTAATAAAGAAAAATTAAAATAAAGACAAACAGCAAAACAATAAAGCATGTAGTTTCATAAATGGGAACTTGTTGAGTTTGAACTTAGCCAGGCAGGATAAGTAAGAAACTTTGGCTTTTAACATGCTACAAAGTTGAGATTTCTGTAAAATAATATGTTTACTTATTTTACTG